TGAAAGAGGAGAGCGGAGGTGGAGGAGGTGCGGCGGAAGAGGATCTGGTCTGGTCGGGGAGTTCGTCGGCGGTGGGGATGAGGGATTAGGGGGAGGAGGAGGGAGCCTGGATTAAGGGGCGGTGGGATGACTCAGAGTCCTTTGATCCTGTCGAGGTCTATGGAGAGATCTGTCTCTGGGGGAGGAGGAGGAGAGGCTTCGAATTGGGTCAAGGAAGAACCTGAAAGAAGACAATCTGAGAGTGAAGTTGTGGACGATATTTTCAAGGCGTATATGAATCTTGATACATTGATGTTTTGAACTCTTCTTTTGGAGGAGGTAATGAGGCTGAGATGGAGAGTAGTGGGACTAGGAAGACCAATGGTGGTGGAACCAGTAGTGACTCGGAGGGAGAGAGCTGTGACAATGTGAAGATGGTTTCTTCAGGGGTGAAGAGGAGAGCTGGTGGTGACATTTATAAAAAAAGCTTTGAGCAGTTCAATTGTGGACTTCGAGCAGCTTCAGAGCCAATTCAATGTAAAAAAAGCTTTCTTCCTTTTTTTTTATCTTCTCTTAAAAGATTTTTTTTTTTTTTGCGTATATATCCAAGTCTTATTCAGGATCCAGATCAGTTAAGGGTAGTCACGGAGTCTGTTTTGGTAACTATGGTGTTGCAGTGTAGCAACCATGCACCTAGAGCTAGTTTCTTCTCTTCGCCTTACGTACATTATCTAGAGTTAGTTACATTAACTGAGATACCTTTTTACCATCCCTTCTCTCTTCAGTCTCCGCTGCTGAGGCCTCACTAAACCAAGCAGGTTCTTCTGCTACTTCTTCACAGTCTTTAGTCCATGTACCTTCAGGTAATGAACAAGGTTCTGTCACTGTAAGAGATAATGCTATGAGGAATAGTCAGCGTGTAAGAGCTGAAGCTATAAACAGTCTGCGTCAGATCAGTTGCAAAATTATTTTGATTGGCATTGAGTTTAATCTCAAACCTTTCACTCATGCTGAGATCTTCCAGTACATGATGAGTTGGCTTGTGAACTGGGACATGAGAGAGATGGGAACTGAGAAGAGTTTAGCTGAATGGTTAAGGAGCTGTTTGGAAGTGATGTGGGTGTTGGTAGACGAGGGTAAATCTAGGATTCTGTTTTATGAGTTGTTGCGCAGTGGTTTGCAGTTTATAGAGAACATACCTGATGATGATGAAGCTTTGTTTACTCTTGTCATGGAGATACACCGAAGGAGAGATGCCATGGCTATTCATATGCTCATGTTGGATCAACATCTTCACTGTCCAACGTTTGGTACTCATTGTATATCGTCTCAAACACCTGCCAGTGTTTCAGTTGAAGCTGTGGCTCACCTTCGCTACTCGCCGATTACGTATCCAAGTGTACTTAGGGAACCTTTATGTGGAGAGGTGATTACTTTCATAGTTTGGTTGTGTAATGTACATGATTTTAAGGCAGGCAATTTGAATTTTTTTTTTTTTTGGTTTGACAGTATCTGGCAATGTCTATTCCAGAAGGAAGTTTGGATTCGGAGAGAGCAGTGCGTTGCATTAGACATGCTATTCGCACTACGCCTTCACCGGTCATTATAAATATTCCAAAAAAATATTTATAATGGTTTATAAAACTATTTATAATTGTTTATAAAACCATGTATAAGAATTTATCACCCATTTATAAGAGTTTATAAATCTATTTAGAAGGTTTATAAATCTATTTATAAGGATTTATACAAAATACAATATTAAAAGAGTTTAATAATCTTCATAAAACAATTTATAAGAGTTTTCATTTAGAAGAGTTTATAAATCATTTATAAATAGATTTACTCAATGCACTTCTGATGTTTTTCGACTCGTATACGGTCCCAACGCATCCTATTCACACAATGTTTTAGAATATCAGAAATTAATAGAATCTTATATAATGTTGACAAGTTTTATGAAATAGATATAAAAACTCTTATAAGAGAATATATAAAGTCATTTTATAAGGATTTATAAATTGTTCATAATGTTCTTCGACTCGTAAACGGTCCCAACGCATCCTATTCACACATTGTTTTAGAATATCAAAAAACATGCTCTTCTTAGAATATCAGAAAATTAGTAGAATCTTGTATAATATTGACAAGTTTTATGAAACAGATATAAAAACTCTTATAAGAGAATAAATAAAGTCATTTTATAAGGATTTATAAATTTTTCATAATGTTCTTCGACTCGTAAACGGTCCCAACGCATCCTATCCACACATTGTTTTACAATATCAAAAAGCATGCTCTTCTTAGAATATCAGGAAATTAATAAAATCTTATATAATGTTGACAAGTTTTATGAAATAGATATAAAAACTCTTATAAGAGAATATATAAAGTCATTTTATAAGGATTTATAAATTGTTCATATGGTTTAAAAAGTCATTTATAAGTGTTTATAAACAAATTATAAGGGGTTATAAAACATTTATAACGTATCTAATATTATAAGAGTTAATATATTATATATAAAAGCTTATATATTATTTATAAAGGTTTATACACTACAAGAAAACTAAGAAGTTACTACGAAATTTTACTAGGAAAATAATTCCTCATAAAGTTACTACGAAATTACTTCGAAATTACGAGGAAACCATTTTTCCTCGTAAGGTCCTCGTACAGGTACGAGAAAAATATTTCCTCGTAACACCGTAGTAACGTTACGAGGAAATTACGTGGCAATAGTACATTTCCTCGTAAGCCCGTAGTAAGTTAGTTTCCTCGTAAAATCCTAGTAAAGTGTTACTGCGAAATTAAGAGGAACAGATTTGTTACTACGAAATTAGGAGGAACTGGATAGGAAATATGGAATTTAAATCAAAAACGTGTTTTGTACCTACATTGCCTCACAACCACGGTGTGGGATGGCCTCATCAGCTATTGGGGTTTGCCGGACTCGGTCAGAACCTCCCACACAAACTCCGGGAACCGCATGATCAGAGACGAGCATGGCAACACGAAGATGCTTCACACCACGGGTCGAAAACCTCACGGGGAAGTTCGTCTAGACATGGTAAGATGATTTTTAATAACTATTTAATTTTTATTTTATTTGAATATATATATATTCCAAATTAATATTTAATTTTAAAAATTACTTTTAGGCTAAAGAGACAGGAGTTCTTCCATCTCTGAAAGACCTTTACGAGAGGACCCACCGGAACAAGGCTGGGCAGTTTGTAAATCCGGCTTCCGAGCGGATCTACAACGAGGTTGTTGCCCGAGTTGACGAACGCCAGACCCAGCTGACTCAGCAGACTGGGACTCCAGTCGTATTATCCACTCTTGAAGTGGATAAGATTTACGAGGAGGTAAATAATTTGTTTTACTATTGATTTTTAATATTTATTTAAATTTTTTCTTAATGTTATTAATATTTTTATTTACAGGTCGCCCCTAGGAAAAAGGGGCGTATCATCGGGATTGGCTCGGTTAATGATGTCCCTGCAGCGACATCGTCTTATCATCAGGAGCAGCACAATGTCAATACTCAGCTGCGCTCGGAGTTGCAGGTGACGCAGTCTCATGTGAGTTCGCTCACCGAGCATGTGACTTCTCTCACAGATGTCCTCGGCATTTTGTCAGTTGGAAAGCCGCAATTGGAGGAGATGTTGCGTCAGAGACGGGAACTCGGAGGGATTCTAACCCAACAGCTTCCACCATCACAGTCACAGCCGGCAACCAACTTTGGAGAGGAGCAGGATTTAGCGAGCCAGGACGAGTTCGTTCGGCAATTTCACGACCAGCATCCGTAGTTTTTTTATTTTTAATTGTATATTGTGAATTTTAAAACTTGATTGTATATTATTTAGTTATTTATAAAATATATTTTTTTTTCTAATTTGATTTTTTTATTTTTAAAAAATTATTTATATTTATAATTAAATTTTTTAATAGGGAATAAAATATTTCAAAGCAAAATCCTCATAAAGTTTCCAAGTAATGTCCTCGTAATTAATTCTATTAAGTTCCTCGTAATGTATTACTACGAGCTTACGAGGAAAAGCTTACTACGAGCTTACGAGGAAACCCTACGAGGACCTTACGAGGAAAAGCTAACCACGCCTTTACGAGGAAAAGTTTCCTCGTAAATTTGCTAGGACCTTACGAGGAAAAAGGCTTTACGATGAACGTGTTTCGACGAAACGCGTTTTTTCGTTATTTCCTAGTAAATGGCCATTTACTAGGAAATAATGAGGAAAACCCGTCCTAGTAATGGACGAGTTTTCTTGTAGTGATAAGGGTTCAGAAACTGATTTTATGAAATCTTATAAACTGATTTATAAGATATTTTATTTTGATTTACAAGAATGTATGAACTGATTTATAAGGTAGTTTTCTTAACACTACTCCCACTAGTACTTCTTGAATTCAACTGTCTGCTAGCAACCTGTGAATTGATTTTGCGCTTGACATCATACTGACTCTGTTTCTTTTTTTTTTTTTTTTTTTTATACTGACTCTGTTTCTCCTTCTCATCTGTTATAATATTATTTATAAGTCATTTATAATTAGTTATAAATAAGTTTATAAGTCTTTCTAAATTAGTTTATAATCATTGGATACGTTATTTATAATCATAGATTTTATATAGAATTTATAAGGTTTTATAAATTAATTATAAGGTTTTATATAGGCTTATAAGGGTTTATATGTTTATAAGAAATTTATATAAGATTTAAAAGGCTTTATAAAATGTTTATAATGGGGTATGAAGAGTTTATATAAAAGGTTTATAAGAAATTATTAAGGCTTTATAAGGGAGCTTCTCCATGAGAGGAGCAGCAACTTCACGGAGAATCCATGAGACGATTAAAGAAAGTGCAAAGAGACCACAGTAAGCAATTCTAGCGGAACGTCTGCTGATGCTAGAAACCACTGTACGGCAAGCATCGCACGCACAAGCAGCACAGCACGAATAATCAAGTTGCTTCTTATTTAACTCATACATTTCTACTAGGTGCTTAATACAAACGAGTTACTCTAATTTTTTTAATATTCAAGATGTGATTCTCATCCCCTTGTGCTCTTCGCATCTCTTCCGCCCTTTTACTGGAGGTTTCTCGCATACTGATCCATTTTACAGCCTCACACCGCAGACTACTTGAGTTACGTTTGCTATGTCTGAACATTTTCAGATGATTTGTTGTCCAGAGTTCCATCTTTGTGCTTCCCTTAGGAGCACTTCTTGTACAAGGCAAACCATTCTTCGTTGTAGCTTCACATAAAAGACTTTGACTTGGTTCCTCTTGGTTCATTGAGCTTGAACGTGTCACCGGTTTGGACTTATCCTCTTTGAGGATTTTATCACGTTCTGTTGGGTTGAGCAGAAAGAAGAAGGCGTTGACTCGCATTCCATTGTGATCTTCGCAACGTTTCCTCCGTGAAACAGGTTTGCTTTTGCAACGTATCATGTCAGGTAAAATCACTCCACATATCTCCTTGGTCTCTCCACATTCTTCTCTCGCAGTAGGAACTTTACACGGTAGGTTTTTAGCAGGAGGAAGACATGAGATTCTCTGTCCTTTATGCTCTGTCCATCTCTTTCTTCCTATGACTGGAGATGTCGTGCAAGTAGTACCATCTTCTTGTAAGACTCCACAAACAGTAGCAGAATCAGACCCATCAGCAACGTCATCACCATCAACGTCAACAACAGGAAAATTATTATTATTATTCTCCTTAGCTTCAACACAATTGACATCTCTCTCTTCTTCAATACCATGCTTCTCCTCTTTGCTTCTCTTGCCACTCTTCTTCTGAGTAATTGTTTAAGACACAACCGGTTCTCTTGGGCTCATAAACTGAGGAACAGATCTACCAAAAGACCGTAGCCGAGTTCTAATGTTTTCGGTTTGACCAAGAGAAGCCTTAACGTCATGAATGTTGACAGCTACACCAAGACCTTGGACAGATTCTTGGCCTCTGTATCTACCTACAACATCTTTTCCCACTCTCAAATCTTCCTTATCCTTGGCTCCTATTAGAATATGTATTCATTATTAAATTAACATCAAAAAGATTATGTTTTGCCAACTTAATAACGTAAGAGAAAGAGCTTAGCTTGAGACTAAGGCACCTAGTTAACTGATAACCAACATAAGCTGCACTTAAAAGAAAACAAATGGTGAGACTTGAGCAAACCTGAATCGGTTTCTTGTAAATTTGACCGAGTTCAAAGATCTGCAACCATCTGTAATCTCTTTTAGTGAAGCATCCGTCAAATTATCCAACTCTGAGAGGTCAAAAGCTTCCAGATTAGGACAATATCTCCCAACATTCCAAAGAGTTCCATCATTCACCCCTCTGATCACCATAAAGAAAACTCAAAAAACATTAGTTCAAGTAGACAAAAAAACCATCCAACTAGTTTCATGATTCAAACTTACACGCAAGAAGCTAGAGAAAGATCAGTGAGACTAGACCCACGAGAAGTACAGAACCCAACAACAACATCATGAATCCCTTCAAGTCCAGCAACCGAGAGAGAGAGTTCAACTTCTCAAACCTACTTAAACTAATCCTAAACACATCAGACGGTTTAATCCCTTGGCACCCTCCAATGTCAAGCCCTCTAAGAGTCGAACCAAAGCAATCAGCAAGAATCTTCATAGCTTGGAAAGTGAGAAGCGAGCATTCAAAGAGGTTAACAATCTTCACAGCTTGGAATTGTAGACTTTGGGGGTTTTTGAGTTCTGTCATCTTCTTTTGAATCGCTCAGGTGGCTCGTGCTTCTTCTTTCAGGCTGTGTCTCATCTACGGCAACGTCAAGCTCAAGGCTTGTTCGGCTTCGTCGGATTTGGTCGCCGTGGAACTATCGGTCATCATCTAATCTGGAGAATTTGTGGGAGATAATAGGTTAAGGGTATAATAGTCTTTTTCTATCAAAAATTTAAGGATAAAGTTGGTTAAGGTATAAGTAAAACTAGGCGTTTTATCCGCATATGCGGGCATAATTTTCTTATGAATATTTATTATTTTTTGTTTTATTAATTCTAAAATAATATTATAAGTTATTTTCTATAGTTTTAAAAAACCTAAATCAAACATTAAAATATTTTTTTAGGATTTTTCATTAAAACCTATATGCTTATTATAGTGTTGAAAAACATCCACATAATAAAATATTTTTGAAAATATATTTATATTTTTTCTTAATATTTAATTAAAATCGATATTATATTTTAATTTTTAAATTTTATAATATAATGATATTATTTTAAAATTTTATAAAATAATGATATTATTTTTAAAAGTCAAAATCAATTTTATATAAAATTAAGATCTATAAGCATTATCATGTTGTTACAATATTATATTTAGATGATAATAACATATATAAGAATTATCTTATTTTGTTTTTTTGTAAACTTATTATATTAGTTATTCTTTGTTATCTACTTATCTAATTTTATTTTTTAAATTTCGTTTTTAATTATAAAATTAGTTATATATAAAAATTTCATTAAGGGTAAAATATATATTAACCGCTCTAACTTTCAATGTGAGAGCTCCGTTGCGAAAAATCACTTCGCAAATAATAGTAAAGATAGAGTAGTTTGAAAGTAGTACATTAGGCAAATTCCCAACAACTAGGTATATGCTTTTGGGTATGAGTAAGACCCACTCGAGTATCGTTTTTTTTTTTAATTTTGAAAAATAGTTTTATTCGGATATTACAAAAAAAATCGGATCCAGTTTGATTCGGGTCTTCTTGGATCTGGGTAGGTTTGGGTTTTAACCGAAGTAACCAAAATACTCAATTCTATTTGGGTATTTTATATCTAAACTACTCAAAGTTATCTAAAGATAACTAAAATCCTAAAAGTATTCATTATATATGGTTCAAATTAGTTAATTTTTTTGTTTGAAAGTAACCATAGATACACAATGTTATTTGGATATTTTGCATCCAAAATATCAAATTCTATATAAATATCCAAATAATTAATATATTGAATATATAATTTTAATTTTAGATATTATTATTAGTAAATGTATAATTATAAATAATATTTTTCATATATATTTATATGTTTGGATACTCATTTGGTTGTTGATGAGGGTCATGTTCGTTTTGGTTTTTCGAGTTTTGTCAAATTAGTGGGCTGGGCTTTAAGGCCATTGAGTAGTTGTACAACGTAAGTCAATAATCAAAATATAAAACCGGGAGTTGGTGAGTTATTAGACCGGGTTTTGTCGATTCTCTCTTATTTGTACCTGTGACGGAAACGACAAGGAGATGGAGTCACGGATTCAGAGAATTTAATAGTACACCGAGCGCGTTTGTCCTCTGAAGCTGACACATTCACTCTTTAAAACCACTAACCACGTTACTCCTTTCTTCTTCAAATTTTCATTGTAAAATCCTATACTTACTAATCAAGCAATTGATTATAATAATATAACGGAACTGATTACAACAAAGTGGGCACCATGATCACAAAATTCAACTTAAATATCTCTCCATCAGAAAGAAGAAAATGAGAGAGTTTGATTTGTTAATTAAATTCCGTTAGACTTGGTCACCAAATAAACACACAAGATTCAGAACTAATCTTGGCATGTACTGAAATTAATATTTTAAAAGTTAGTATTTGGTCGGGGTTTAGTAGATTAACGGTGAATTTTAGGTGGTGAATGTGATGGTGAATATTTGTCTGGTAGTGCATGTTAGCCACGTCACGGTAACAGGTAGAATTTAGTTATTCACTGACGTAACTCCCTCGTTCATTATTTATCAACTCGTATTCTGTTAGTACTTTCATTCTGTAATAATTTCTTTTTTAAATGATCGTAAGAATAGAGGAAGTAATATTGACTTGGGTTATTTCGAGGAGAATAATATTACTCCGTCTGTTTCATTATAAGTGTCACTCTACAGCTGTGCACACGAATTAAGAAAACAATTAATCGATAACATTATTTGAGAAGTAAATTTGCTTAGTTGTCAACTTCTCCATGATTTTAGGTTATCTATAATATTATTTGAGAAGTAAATTTGTTTAGTTGTCAACTTCTCCATGATTTTAGGTTATTTTACTTATTTTCATGTTTTAATAATTTAGTATATAATAAAAACGAATTTATGTTAATAATATTACATTTTTAGAAAATATGTTAATTATTTTGTATTAGATTGTTATCTAAAAAATATATTATTCAATTATTATTTTAGAAGTAAAAATTTCCTTAGTTGTCAATTTCTCCATGATTTTAGGTTATTTTGCTTATTTTCATATTTTAATAATTTATTATAAAATAAAATAAAAAGAATTTATGTTAATAATATTATATTTTTTGAAAATATGTTAATTCTTTTGTATTAGATTGTTATCTTAAAAATATATTTTTAATTATAAAATTTAAGTGAGTTTGCTGATTAATTTGTAACTTTCTGTGATTTTGGTAATCTATACTATTATTTCTGAATGATTTTTTGCAAGAAAGCTCTCACGTTGAAAGTTAGAACGGTTAATATCGTTTATACCCTTAATGAATAATTAAAAAATTAATTTAATTAAACATAAATAAAAAACGAATTTCAAGGATTTTAGATTTATCTTTTTCTAAACCTATTTATATTGGGTTATAAAGTTTTTATTAACCTTGAAAAGTAATTATATTATTTAATATACTTGAAAAATATTTATATTAGTTAATATATAATTAATTATAAATTAAAATCGAATTTCATTTATTTGATAATTATCCTTATTTTTTTATATTATGTGATAAAGTCTTTATCAACCTTGAAAAATAGTTATATTTGTTAACATATAATTAATTCTAAATTTAAAAATGAATCTCATGAATTTGATAATTATCTTTATCTAACTTTTTATATTGTGTTATAAAGTCTTTATTAACGTTGAAAAATAATTCTATTTGTTAATATATAGTTAATTATGAAAAATCAATTTGCAAAGAATTTATGTATATATAATTTATATTGTGTTATCCAAAACATTATTAAACATAATTTTTTATACTTTTTTGTTATGTCTAAAAACGATATTAATTTATTACTAAATGTTTCAAGTTTATGAGTATTTTCAAATATAAGTTGTGTAATGAAAATTATTTATATGATGATGAAAATTTTATAAATAAAAAGAATTTGTTTAGTTTATTATTAAATATTTTGAGTCTATAAACAATAATTTATTATAATTTACATAACTTGATTATATATTTATTTATAGATATTAGTAAACTTATTAAGCCCGCAAGTGCGGGCAAAACACCTAGTTTTACATATTTCCTATATAAAAACACAGTTACCCATACACCTAACCATATTTTAACCAATAGAAAAACAAATTACATAATAAAATTAATAAATTTTGCATTAAAAACCGAAAACGACACTTATTTTGTAACGCAAAAAATTCTCTACAACGACACTTAATATGAAACGGAGGGAGTATAAAACTAGTCGGTAATCAGGTTTATTCGAATAAAGTATAGTCAAAACCGAATATTAAAAAAAAAGAGAGAGAAAATAGGAAAAAAGCGACGCGTAAATATAGGAGGGAAAAGGTGAAAATAATAAAGTCAGCAACAAGTATTGGTGTAAATGTCTTTTAATGACCAAACTCAACTCAGTCCCCACTCTCCCACCCGCTAATCTCGCCTTCATCTCTTTGTTTATGTTTTGTATGTAGCAACTTTATCTCTCACAGTGCCATACATCCTTCTCCCCCTTTACTCTCCCACTACTCCCTCACAAATCCAAAGATTTAACTAATTCCAACAATGCCCTTATCTCCCTCCTCCTTCTTCCTCTCTCTCTCCTCCATCTTCCTCCTCCTCCTTCCCCTCTCTCTCTCCTCTCCTTTCAGTACGTTCCTCTCTCTCTCTGTCTTAGATCTGATGAAG